GAACGGAAACAAAATTTTGCGAACGGTGCTGTTCGTGACCCGAATTGGTCGTGAACAGAAGCGTTTGTGACCCAAGGTACCACTGTAGATTCTGGAAGAATCTTGTCTTAGCAAACTCTGTTTATAAATGATGTGAAAGTTTGTGGAGCAAGGCAGCAGAGAGGCCAGTCAGCCAGGAAGAAACATGAACCAACAAAGTAAGGAAAAGGGGAACCGCATGAAAGGACTTCATATTCTTGAGCTTCTGATGAAATAACTCCACATGATTCAAAAGAGCAAGTTGAATCTCTGCAAGATTTGAATAAATCTGCAAAGGAATTTGTAACGCAACCTTTGTTGCTGGTATTACTTCACACAATCTGCAAAAGCATATATTCCCCTGATTGTCATCAGTATTGTGTTGATGATAGTTTTAATCAGTTCTTGTTTACTATGACAGTTCAAGCATCGTTGTTCGATGCTACAGAAGTATAGCAGTAGAGATGTTGTTCAAGAATTTCAGATGCTGGATTAGTGTAATGTGACTGGGTGCTGCCCTTGCAACCAAATCCATTGCGAAATCACATGTTATCGAGTTCTGGAGATGACAAGAAGAAGCACAATGTCTTACGATATTTTAGTTGGTCTTTAAGTTGTGAGGAAGCTTTTCATCTTACCAAAATGCTCTGTAGGCTTAATGTTCTACTTAACATTTCACCCAAAGAATCATTCTGGTATCTCAACATCTTATTTTTCTGAAGTTTGAAAAGGATGAGCTACTTATTGTAATATCTGTTCCTGCAGGAAAATATTCAAGTCAATATGCCTCAACTAAAGAAGAGCTTTTGGCATTACTAGTCCAGCAATAACTCTTGATTTGTATACTGGGTAGAAAAGATGGGATATCAATATGTGGAATTTGCCAGCCATTGATTGAGCAAAACAGAGTGTGCTTCATTCTTACTCATCCATGATAAGGAAATGAACCAGAACCCTTTAGCAAGCAGTTGGCACAAAAGTCCTGCTTCTACATATCTTGCCACCATATACTTTTCCTTAAAAGTTACATGACATCCTTGCCCAAACTGATACCATTGACCTACTACCAACGGCATCTGTGGTTACAGAATCCAGTAGACCATCATAGATCTGCAAGGTGTGTTGCAGAATCCAATTTGAATTGGAATTGAATTCATTTTTATATACTTGAACTCTATCTTCTTTCCTGTCCCTCTAAGGTCATTCCTAAGCCTGCATAATTTAGCCAGTTTTACAGCTTTTCTACCTTCTCTGGGGTCCCATGTATTTGCAGAGTTTGAAAAATAACGGAGCACTTGGGGTGGGTTTGGTACCAAGCCTTTGAATTCTTTTGGTCAAAATAAGATGGGTCACTTGATGTAGTATCATACTGAGGCATATTTATGCCCCTTTTTTCCAATGAAATAATCAGTGAAGACACCAGTTGGCTTCTGTCCTTCCCTAACTTTTCTTCCTTAGGAAAGCCGGGTCAGTAAGGCAGTAGAAGTGATGATTCAGCATGTGGAAAACTTAAAACGCACATACGCAAGAGAGCATGCAGAACTGGAAGAGTTGAAGGAGGTATTACTGCAGAATGAAAAGTCCTTCAGCTCTCTGGGGGACCGAGGTAACAGCCAAGGAGTTATAGATTGAAGCAATGTTTCATCTTTCCTGCCTTTTCTCTCCAGCGCAGGGATGGTAATCTAAATATTCAGATGCTGAGTAACTTGAAGCTTCTCATGCAGGATGAGTGCACGTGGATGTGCATGAATGGCCAAGGCTCAAATCAGGCCATGGTGGCCCCTTTAGCTATTCCCATTATGAAGGCATCATGGTTGGACCTTTTCTCTGAAACCCAGCCCCATCAACCCAACTAGGTTGATTTCGACTGGGGCTATGGGGCTGAGAAATGGGGTCTTTGTGCTTCCTAATACAGGTTTTTTTCCTGTATTTGTCATTCCGGGGCTATCTGCAGGGGAAGGTCAAGATAGCCACAACCGTGCAATCAAAGCCTGATCCCCTTTGATACGTATTGCCTATAAAAAGGGACATGGCTTCAATCACAGGCTTTAACCATCCTCTTGATTTTTTTTTTGACCTTCCCTTTGCAAACATCTTTGAGACCCAGTTCCTACCCCAACCCTACATTGTAGGTTCCTCTGTTTATGGGAACCCTCTTGGTAGAACTGGTGTTGGAGGTTGCTGCCTTTGGGCAGATGTCATGGTAGGGAGGGTTTGCTGCTGATCTCTTAAACTCTTGGTCTTCACTTGCCATACTAGGTAGGGGCATCCAAGGAAAGGCAAAGCAATGGGCGTGAGCTCAGTAATGAAGAAGTGAGCCCACTCTGGACATCTTCTCCAAACCAATTCACTCCCCACCGAATCCAGACCAAGCCACAGAGATGGCTGTCTTACAGGCCTCTCAATATCTCTTCTAGTTCTGTTGAAGCCCTTGCTCCCTTGATTAATGTATATTCTTCCACTTCTCTTGCACTTTCAGATGACTCTTCAATTAAAAAACTCTCTGGTTCCCTCAAGGTACAAGTGTTACAAGCGTCTTGCCTTCTGCACCCTTTTCTGTGCCATGCCCTGTCTTAATAATCTAATTGTGATGCTTTTGAGCTCTCCGTTCTTGCATTTTCTTTCTTTTCTCCCCTTTGCAGCCTTGCAAAATGCATAAACTGAGCCCTGAAAGTTCCAATTACGTCACTGAAAACTGGCACCATTTTCTTGCAGAACACCTTGAACTTAGACTATTTTGTGCCCAGGTCTTTTCAATTCACTCTGCTTAAGTTTTCTCAAATTGCTCCTCTTAAATGCCCAACAGAATTCTGTATTTGTCTTCTTTCTAGATTGTAGTTCATGAGATGGTGATAGTAAACGTTGCAAGTGTGATTAATATGTGGTTAAAACTCAAAAGCAAAGGGGAGTCCATGGTTTCCGGTGAATCACCGTACCAGATTGGGAGAGTTGGACTTTTTATTATTTTCTGCCCCTTTTTCCTGCATAACTTGCTGAAGTCACTTGCTGAATATAAAATAGCATGCAAATAGTTCATGCAGATTAAATTGTCTTTATGACATTTCATTGGTATCAAAAAAGTATTTACAAGTTCAGATACGTATATATAAACACACGTAACATGGTCATCTGTTGTCAAGTCCCACATTGCTGGTAATTCAAAGAAATTATGAATTTCAGAAAGGTATTTTAAATGTTAATCTTGAAACATGGAAAAGTACATTTCCATGTTTATCATGAGTTACTTCAGTTACTTTCAAATATAGTTTCTTTGCACACTTTCTCTTATCTGGAATAAAACACAAGGTCCAAATTTGAATTCATATTTCTAGGGAGCCTTTAGTTGCAATTGAGAAAGTTCTGCTTTCATTGGCTTCACCAAGACTAGAAATAAGTTGGTGTTGTGGCTGGGGAAGGAGGGAGGATGTGCTAAATATCCGGATCTATAGGACTTTGAAAAAATGGTATGCTTAACCAGGAAATTCAAGTTAGTTGTAAGTTAAAAAAAAAAATCAACAAAGGAAGTGTCTGTGCATTGCTTTAATCTTTTATTTGTGCTATTTATTCATTTACCAACCAATTCCTAGTCTAAATCTCTCTCCAAAAAAGGACATTCTTAAATGTGAACAAAATTGCAGCTTGAATGACAAATATTAACCCTGCAAATCGAATTACAAATACCCCAAATAATTGAATTTCTGCAGGAGTTAGGATAATCCCATATGTAATTTGAACTGGATGATTTTTTTTTTAATTGAAAGATGGATATATGGTAGCCAGAACCATATCATCTTTTGGAGATTGTTAAATATTTGTATCTCTGTTTTATCTGCATTTGATCATTAGTTGCTTCTGGCACTTTTGTTAATGGAAAAGGGCAAAATACATTTCGTTAATCAGTTGAATAGCTGCTGAGGAATTGGGTGGAAAATATAATCCTTTAACTGGCAGAAGCCTGTGGACCTTCTTCTCTTTGGATGCTCCTATTAACTATTATGGTATGTTGCTTGGAGCATTCGCTTGGATGTCATATTTTATATAACCCTGTTGAGTGAAGTTCCTGTTGTGGAAAAGGGCCACTGTGTGTTCTTCTCTCTCTTTTTATTTGTATTATTGATAATAATAATGAGGAAGGCTGGATATAGAAAAAGAAAATTCATTCATTCATTCATTCATTCATTCATTCATTCATTCATTCATACAATTTCTGTGGCCGCCCATCTCAAACAAGTGACTCTTGGCAGTGAACAATCATAAAATCAATTAAAACCAATTACAAACATAATACAAAAATAAATACATACAGCAGCCGAGAAAAATCATAAACCACAGATGTGCTCAAGGGTCGCATAACTAGTTGAACTGGGCCCAGAATTTGAGCTATGTAGACTTTTTATGGCATGTCCTGTTCAGTGATGTGTATCCATTCATGAGATCAGTGCTGAACTCCACGTAGACTTCTTAAATCGGGCTAGAAGCTCTGCTTCGTTCACACAAATCCCACCTTTTGCACAGAAGAACCACAGGGCTCTTGCAGGATGTGGAATGCTTAACCGATCAAGTAGTTTTTCTTGTTTTGTGTAGCCTTCGTCACTACGCAGAGTTAGCACTGCAACCTTGCCTAGGAACAGTAATGGAAGTCCAGTCACTTTTTTGCAACTGGTATGTAGGTGTTTTCCAGTACTGATAGTTCCTTACTCTGAAAGTATTAGTTGCACGTAAATGGTGACCTCTCCCTTTCCCTGTTCTACAAAGGCTCAGTTGAATGAAATGGATGGAAACAACAGGAATGATAAATTCAACAGACGCTCGAGTTGGTACGTATAGCACTGTGTATTGGGGTATGCGTGCACACATAAGACAGCTACAGAACAAACTTTCCTGACCTGGTTTCCTCCAGATGTGTTATATTACAGGTGCAATAATCCACCATGCCATGCTCTTCCAATGGAGCCTCTTTGATCAAGGGATGAGAGAGAAGTTCATTTATTTCACATCTGGATGGGAACTGGCTTAGTTTTGCATGTTTTAGTCAATGTGTGTATGGAGAGTTTAGACAAAATTGCACATAAGATGGGCATGTTAGGAAAAAAAACATGCAGAAAGATATATACAACTTTTACTGTATTTTTTAAAAGAAATTGCAGACTAGAAGGGAAAGGGGATGAACCAGAATTACCCATGGAAAAATGGTGGTTACCTATTATTCAACATTGAGTTGCATTATAGGAGGGGGAAGATTCCCTTGCTGGTATATCTCTGGAAATGCTGTTCTCTGGTTTGAAAGCACTCCCCCCAAGCCCCCAGCACACTTCCAATCCAGTTTCAGTGGCAGTCTGTAAACTTAATGATGGCAGTTTGTTGTACCACAACAACAACAGCAACAAACCCTGTTTGATGGAAGCTGTATTTCCTTATAATCATCCATAGCCAATCTCTGTTGTAAGGATTCATCGCTGTGCTGCTGGTTCAGTTCTGCAGAACCCTGAGCAGTTGGGACTGTCCATTTACCTTTCCAAGGCTGAAGAATTGAAGTGCTTATGTAGAACTTTAACATCTGTATATGTATCAGTAAATGTATGCCTTCCCTTCCCTTCCCTTCCCTTCCCTTCCCTTCCCTTCCCTTCCCTTCCCTTCCCT